ATCTGGCCTGCTTGGTGTCCTCAAGTCCACTGCCTTTTTTCCATACGACAAAGCTTCCAGCAAAATGGTTTGGCAGATAAAATCTCCAGGGCCAACACTTTGGGTGTCCTCTGTGCTTAAATGAAACAGGAATAAAAAAAGATTCACCCTGGAAAAAAGCAAATCGACTGATGCTCACCAACGGCAGGTGCTTCAAGGAGGATCTGAGGACATCCCTCAGAGAGGCTAAATGGGATAGCCTGCTCCCTCCTTTCCATCCATCCTGATTCTCTATGATCCCGACGGCCCAGTACAGGCCGTGAAGATGATCTGGAAGGAGTTTTAAGTGCTTGCAATATGTCTCACGTTCCGTATACCCAAGAGTCCTGCCTCTGCCATCTCGTCCCAGGCTTGCGTGACAAGTATGAGATGTGGAATGACAGTGTTTAGCTCTATATTGCAGCGTTTTTAAAAATAGCCTTGGACACGTTAAAATTGATGCGATGGGTTGTAGCAGCTCCTCTGCTCTGGGAAACTCAGTAGGGCAAATAAATAATTTATTGCTGCTTTTCTTCATTTTTTAGTTATGAGCGCATAAAACAGTTGTTTGACGTAGCGGTAGCGAAGAAATGGGCGTGGGCTTAGAGATGTGGCCCAAGGTTTGTCGCTCCTGTGTTTCTTGGTACAAGACCCAAACAAAGTAAGGGTTTATCGTGAAACTGGTAAATGCCCGTTAATATTACCAGTATACAGCTGGGAACTGTGATTCCTAGCATTAGAGCCTTCAGGAAGATGAAGTAGTTCATGGACGCAGAGCCAAGTCCTCCTTTAAGATCTCCCTGACAGTCCTTGGCGAAGTGGCAGAGCAGCAGAAGGTGGGCATCAGCTGCGCAACAGCGGCTCAACGTTGGCTTGTGTTGGGCTGTTGGGAATTGGTGCTCAACTCCTGTGTGCGCTGCTTTTCCCTTCTCTTCGGAAGATCAAATATGGAAACTTCTGGTGGGCTGGTGGTGGTGGTAACAGCAGCTGAAGGGGGAGCTGATTCTGCCCCTCTGCTCTCGTGAGACCCCCCTGCAGTGCTGCATTCAGCTCTGGGGTCCCCAACACAAGAAGGACATGGAGCTGCTGGAGTGGGCCAGAGGAGGCCACAGAGATGATCCGAGGGCTGGAGCACCTCTGCTCTGGAGACAGGCTGGGAGAGTTGG